AATGTATGATATATTTACTCCATTTATTAATATCTTAAGTCAACCTATTTTATATTCCTCGATTCGTCATTTTTTTTTGCATTAGTTTATTTTTTGATCAATAAGAAAATTAAAGACAACAAAAGCAAAGAAAAGAAAGCATTAGTTTAATTTTATGTAGTAGTTAATATTGATCGATAACTTACCTCTATTATTCCCAAATAATTAAACTAACTGTAACATTTGCGTAATAATATATATATATATATATATATATATATATATATTATATAAAATTATTCTTCAATAAATTAATCATCAATATAGATTTTTTTTTTATGATTTTGTGAAATTCAGAATATAAACAAAGAAGAAAAAATAATCCAAACAAGGCATCCAAATAATGTTTTGATTTTTACTTTAATTTTCCAATATTTTATTCCCTTATACTTTGTTAGCATTTAATTCTATTACCCTATCTGTTGGTATAATTACTACATTTTAATGGTGTCTATTAAATTATTATTCATCGCTATTTCTTTGTTTTCTTTTGTATAAAATTAATTTAATTTATGTTTTTAATCTTTTTTTAGTTACTCCATCAATAAAATCAATAATTTCTCCCTATTATGAAATAAGTACCGTTGATATCTTGATAAGGTCTTCTTGAGTCAACAATGGTAGAAATTATTATATAAAAAATGTGACTATTGATATACCTTGATTGCACATCAACAACATGCAATAATTTCCTCCTAAAAAAACAATTATACAAATTGAGATAGGTGGTATACATATACTCAAGCATCAATATAATAATATAAGATAACTCTTGAAGAATATTGGTCACTTTGTTTAATTAAGACGTGTACAGTCAAAAACAAACTTAAGTGTGATCTCATTTCAAAAAATAAAGACCTGAGTATCACCTCACTCCAAAAAGAAAGTCAATATATTTAAGATTTGGTCAACAAAAAAAGAAAAAACAAAGGTGAAACTACATGATTGTAGTTACTTCGACCTCAAAAACACAATTGCATATTGCAACATGAGGATGATTTCAAATTAAACAAGCTACTTCTAGATAAAGGTGTTGCTCAAAGTAAAAGTTTCACTTTAACTAAACAACACTTTAGTTACTTTTACTTCCATTAAAATTACATTGTGGTAGTTTGACCTATCTTTACAAGAGTACGAGAATTGTAACGTAGTAGGTTATTTTAGAAGGTCCAAAAGTCCAATATGGGTGATTTAGTAGCCTAGAACGGGTCGTTCCCAATCTGGAACGGGCCGTTCCAAACTACTAAATTGACCTGTAAATCGTAGTTTAGAACGGGCCGTTCTGCATGTGATGGTTGTACGTGATGAAGGGGTGCAGAACGGGCCGTTCCAGATTCAGAACAGGCCGTTCTGGCCACTCCTGAATAATAGGAGTTGTGTGGTTGAGGAGAAAGTGAAGTTTTTAGAAAAAAGTTTTAGAGAGAAGGACTCTAGGTCTGTGAGCTCCTTTATCTCCCAAATTTCTCTGTATGATTCCTTTTCTCCACTAGATCACTAATGCCTTATGTCTTTTCTTGAAATTCAGATTAGGAAGCTTGCTTTGGGAGGATTGAAGTTCCGGGTTGAGCTTCGGAAGGGAATTCTACTTCTTCTCAGTCATTGGCTATTTTGAGCCAATCTTCAAGTGAGGGAAGCTAGAATGTTTGTTGTTTAAGTTGCATGTGAGTTTAGAAAGCATGAAAGTGAGGATCCATGGCTGGATCGGAGAATTCGCTCATTTTTTGAGGTTTTGGGAAAAATGGGGTTTTTGGTGAATTTGATGCATCAGATGGGTGCATGTTGATTTTGAGTTTGTTTTGTGTTGTATGAAGCTTATCCATTGTGTTTTTGTGCTTGCATATGGTTGGATTTGTTAGTTTGGATGAGAGTTTTGAACTCTCTGACTGGGATTAGGCTAGGCGCAGGTTGAGCGCGCAAGGCGTGGAAGAGCTTAGGGCTCTCGGGTTGGATGTTGGGTCAGGCGTGATTTGGTTGCGTCAGGCGTGGAGACTCTTAGGAGTCTCTATCTCAAGGACACCGAGCGTGAGTTGAACGCGCCGGGCATGGATGAGTTTTAGGACTCTCAGGTTGGGATTAGGCTGAGTATATGTTCATATGTGTATGGTTATTGATCATAATGGTGGGTAGACCATGTATGATGTATGATGCATTATTGCATGTGATATCTTATGACATGTGTATGATTGTTGATCATGATGGTGGGCAAACCATGTATGATGTATGATGCATAATTGCATGTGATGCCTTATGGCATGAGTCTAGCCTAGGACTTGAGGAGAGGAAAAATATTTTCGAACTGGAAGAGCTCACATAGAGTCTCTTGAGAGTGGTGCTTGGATAGGCCACTGATATAAGAGAGTGGTGCTCAGGTAGGCCACTGGATTTGGGAGAGTGGTGCTCAGATAGGCCACTGGGTTGGGTGAGTCTCCTCTAAGTCCTTAGCTAGTGTTGGAGCGGGGTATGAGGTCGAGGGTTATTCCCTTAACCAAGTACTCGGGAAGGTGCGTGGATCCTTGCGGATAGTCGGTGGGCGAACTCCACAATTGACTTGGTTAATGCATGCCAAGGTCGTGGTAAGCCCGTACCCAGCTGTGCTATACCTGACGGTGGATCTGGACTTCCAATTGTGTAAGTGACATCATCCGAGTAAACCCGAGTGAGGATTATATATCCTGTTTAGCTGTGACCGAGCGGGCGCATTGGGCGTGAAAACGGTTGGGGTGGTTTCGGTAGGATGGAATGTCACTTATACAGCTCTATTGTTATGGAGATCTCCTAGGTGTATGCGTGACGACGCATTAGATGATTGATATGCATTGATATCTGTCATGAGATGCATTTATTGCATGATTATTAATATGATGAAGTGTGGTGTTTGACTTCATGATTGGTGGATTGTATTTTATGCCTGAGTAGTATTGGATAGAGTGTGTGTGGTGTGACTCTATGAATATGATTGATAGTTGGATGATTGTGTAGTATAGATTATTGTTCTATACTTGTATGATTGGTTTTGAACTCTAGCTTACCCTTCTATTTCCATGTGATGGGACTGCATAATTGAGTAATTGAGTAGTATAGCTTACCCTTCTATTTCCTTTTATTTATTTTGTGTGTAGTATAGATTAATTGAGTAATTTCAGTCCTTAAAAGATTATAATTGTGTAATTTTAGTCTTACAATTTTTAATTGAACAATTTTAATCTCTCAAATATCATAATTGTGGAATTTTAGTCTTTCTCATTAAAAATTTAATAATTTTAAAATTTTAATATATATATATATAAT